ATTCATGTCCTAGAAAAAATAATTTAAATTCACTAGTAGGAGAGTGAGAGCATGGTACTCATTTTCTCCTAAAATGAAGCTCACATTCCCTATTTGGGGAGCCATAATTTATTTATTTTCTTTACCTACTTTTTAGAGTTTCTATTAGATAAATAATAAAGTATATATAATCACGTACGTCCCTTCTTGTTTTGTACCAAGTACAATTTTTTCTATTTTTTAAATATATAGTAGATTTTATATTGAAATTTTACAACAATTTCCATAAATGAATTATCGAGTAAAAAATAGTGAAATTTTGCACTAAATAGGACTAAAACATAATGACTTTTCTAATGTAGGACTTAAATTTTTTTATTCCCTAAATAGGACTTAATAATGACCCAGTGGAAAGAATAATGTCCTGTAATCATGAACATTTAGTTGAATAATGACTACTTGATAATGACCAAAGGTCCTAGATTGGGAAATAAAAACATATGGTCCTATATTGGAAAAGTCATTATGTTTTAGTCTTATTTAGGTAAATTTCAAATAAGGGAGTAAGATCAAAATAAATAGGACTTCCATGTTTTTTTACATTACTAAACATGGTCATGTACATTACCAAAAGAGTATTGTAATGTGCACATGTACAGTGTCACATTAGCACAGTGCAAAGTCCTATTTCGGGAAAAAATATGAATTGAAAGTCCTATTTTGTTACTTTTCATTATGTTTTAGTCTTATTTAGAGTGATTTCTAAAATAACTTCTCGCGCAAATATCGTAAACCATACTTCAAAACATCATCTTGGAAGATAAATTCTTCCGTGGATTTAAGATCAATGCTCATTTTATGGATTTTACTGCATTTGTAAAGAAAACAAGTGAGTCTTTTACAAACAAAATATCCACATGCAAACACAAAAAAATATGAAAAGATCTACTACCTCCGTCCCGTGAAATATTTCCCCTTTCTTTTTTTATCCGTCCCACAAAACATTTCTCATTTCTATTAAAAAGTCACTTTTACCCCTTACTTTTTCATACCCTAACTATCACATCATATCTTTTTACTAATAATCTATCCATCAAATCATACTTTTACCCATCACATCAAAGGACATTTTTGGAAATTCAATACCAAAATATACTCCCTTAAATCCCTTCTAAAAAGCAAATGTCTCATGTTTCAGGGGACGGAAGGAGTATATTTTAAATGTAGCATTGAGACAATGTAAGCATTAGATAGAATACACCGTACGTAGTGAAATCTAAAGCTTATGAAAGCTGAGAAATAAAAAGAAAGAAAGAAAGCGTGGGAGGTGACCGGATATGAATCTGGCGTGTCGGTGCCGACACATTCTCACCGACAGAGTTACCGGATGAAGCAGGCGAGACAATTATAGCCTAACCGGCAAATGAAAGCTCAATTAGGTATTTAGATTTACATTTGATACTTTTATTATTTGGATGATTAAAAAAAATTACTTCTATGTTTAACTTTAATGGTACGGAGCAGAAGGAGAAATTTACTTAAATAACACTAAAACATAATGACTTTCTCTGAATAGCACCACATGTTTTTTTCTTCCCAATGTAGCATTTTTAGTCATTATGCATTAGTCATTATTCAAGCAAATATTAGCCATCACTGGACATTATTAAGTGCTATTTAAGAAATAAAACGGTCTAAATGCTATTTAGGGAAATGACTTAGATTTTAGTGCTATTTAGTGCAAATATTTCTAAAAGAAATTGTAATTTACAAACTTTCTCTTTCAAATAAATTGTATACTCCCTCCTTTCATAAACTGATTACAATTTTTTTACTCATCTCTCTATGAATTTTTTATTTATTTATGTTTTTTATTAATTATTTAATAAAATTAATAAAATAAAATATTCTTGTCACTTTTTGTTTTATAGAACCTTTGACATGATTTTTTAATATGTAATTTTTCTTTTTAATTATGTACCAATTTTTAAATAAAATGATTTTTAAAAACGTGAGATTTGATCTAGTAAGTCTCAATTTGCAATCAAACGACCAAAAGAAATCACCCTACGTAGCACTCTAACTCATCTAATACCACGCATTTAGCACTGTTTATTTTTTTTATCAAATTAGCTATTTATGTTGTCAATCTCTTCCAATCATACCCTTTATGTTGTCAATCCCTTTTATCTATCCACTATCAATTGTTTCAATTCCTCTTTCAACTCCTATATCAAATTCGGACTCACATAATGTATATTTTGTGCATAGTGGCATAGTACTCTTTTTTATCAAATTCTTTCGTCAATTATTTAAATGTAGTTTTGAATAAATATATATAAAAAAATATGATATATCAAAATTATATCATAAAAATATGCCAATTATAAATACTTCCTTCATCCCAAAATAAGGCTCTTATTCGATTTACGATGTTTGATTGAAGTTATTTTCAAATCAATATAAGTAAAAAATTATTGTATAATTAAAAAATAGGAATTATATATTAAAAAAACTACATAAAAAATTTTATAAACAAGTGATGACAATGTGACTTACATATAAAACTACCAATGTTATATATTATTATTTGACTTTCATATTGTGCAAACAGCTTGTGGTTGATTTTATAAGTGAAAGAGATTGTTATGAAATGTGTTACTCAATATGGTGGCTATAAATATATGGTCAGTACAGATTGATCATGTTATGCAAACACTTTTTGGCAGTGAATTTGTCTTCTATATATAATGATGGTGTAAATATAGCGGGGTGGGTTAACCGGGTTTGACCTGGACACACTCGACCCGTAATATAAAACACACAACAAGAACACAAAGTATGACCTAGACCGGGTAAATCTCCTCAGTCCGAATTATATTTTTTACTCTATTTCAAGAGTGAATTTTAGTGAGAGAAAAATTGGATCCCCTCCTCTATCCAATATCATCATATTTATAGAGGAGGATTTATGACCTTCCCCTGTTCATCCATGGACAAAATAGGAAGCTCGTGGGAAGGTCACTGTAGATAATGGGAACACTGTACAATCATAGAATTTAGCAACTATAGGCCAAGACATGTACTGTTCAATCAAAGACTAAAATGGATATTTTCAATCCAATCAACCCTGCAAAATGACAAACATCCCTTTCACTGTGTGCCTCGTGATGGATGAGCGGCGGGGTGTCCCCTTGACCTCTGACGTGGTTCACCATGCCTGAGATACTGAACCAATGTTAGCCAAGTAAAGTGATATGACCGGTCACCTTCTCTCAAAGGTTACCCGGTCATTCTTTGTGCTCAACCCGTCTCTGGTCTTCTAGATTGTCCTTTGTAACATTAGGCGACATTTTGGCTAACGCCCAAAATGTGACCGGTCACTTTTTTAGTGGAAGTGACCGGTCAAAAGTTGACCCATCCCAATCGAAGAGTTAACCTCATTTGGTGATTGATAAAAGTGACCGGTCATATTTTGACATGTCCCTTTCGGTTGTCCGGGTCGGGTATAGGGATATACCCATCAAGAAGTCCTCCACTTACCGGCATTGTGAGGAAGTCATCAAGGGCGGGAAGTATATTTATGTTGATCCATCACTTTTGAAATCATCAAGTCATTCTCATGACCTGTCCTTTCTTTGAAATCACCAAGTCATTCCCATGACCTGTCCTTCTTTGAAATCATCAAGTCATTCCCATGACCTGTCCTTCTTTGAAATCATCAAGTCATTCTCATGACCTGTCCTTCTTGTTGACCTGTCCTTTTAGACCCGTCACTTTTGTAATTATCAAACCTTTCTCTTTCAAGATCTGTCTTTCTCTGGATTGCCAAGTCTTTCTTTTTCAAGACCTGTCCTGTCCTTCTTCAAAATTGTCAAGCCATTCCCATGACCTTTCCATGGAGACCTGCCCATTTCTTGGATTCACCGTCTTCATACCAGACCTGGCACTTTTGGATTTGTAGACTACGCTGCATGACCTGTCCGTTTGGATTTGTGGGAGTCCAAACGTTGAGCATGGCCTTTTAGTTTTGGAATTTCCCCCCAAAACCTCTCACCTTCCACATTCAAAATTCAAAATTTCCCTCCTAATCATAACCTCTTCCACGTGTCAGGCGCTCCTTCTCCCACCTGTCGCCTCGAGCTCCAAACCGCCTCTCTCTCTCCTATAAATACTCCTCCAACCCATCTCATTTATTCACTTCTCTCCTTCGCTCCTCAAGTTTTAACTGGTCTACTTTCTCTCTCTAGCCTTCTGCCAAGTAAGTCCTCCAGTCCTCATAGTCTTTTAATTCTTCCATCTTTCCATTTTTGACCGGTAGGCTGAAGTCATGTCTTCCTCTGACTCACAAAATGTATCCGGTCAATCTTATGGATCGGGTTCTCAACCCTCTTTCTCATCTGAGTCTTCTTCTCCCCCTGTCACTCCTTTGATTCGTCGCCCTTCTCACCAGTCTAATTCTCAGGCCCGGGAAATAATTGCCCAGGACCCTGTCCCTCTGAATCAACTGCCCGGTCGATTCAATCCCAAGGTCCTTAGCTGGGAGCAATGGGAGGAACGACTGGGATCCTTGGGCTTTCTAGCCCTTGATGTCAGACCGGTGTTCAAAGAGTCCTCTAGGGTTACAAAAAAGGTCCTGGCCGAGGTGCGCTCCGTCCTTCCCCCGGGCTATAAAGTCCTTTCTAACACCACCTGGCCCAACATCATAGAACCCCACCAAAGAAACCGGTTGGGGTTTCACATCGCTTCGCTAGAGGGGGGCATTATCTTTCCCCTTCGTCCCCTCCTCGTAGAAATCTGTAACAAGTTCAAGATTTTGCCCGGCCAGCTTACTCCAAATGCTCACCGGTTCTTGAATTGTTTTGTAAATATCTGTGAAAATTTGAAAATCAACCCTTCCCTTGAGCTTTTCCTCCATATGTACGAAGTCTTGCCCGGGACTAGTAACTGCCCAGGCTTCGTCTATTTCCATTCTCGTAATAAGAGATCTTTTGTGACCGGTCTTCCTCCTAGTCACAAAAGATGGAAGAAAAGATTTGTTTTTGTTGAATTCCCCCCTGACCAATTTCCTCTCTCAAACCCTGAGTGGGCTGACCGGGTTATAAAACCTGAAAGGGTTCAACCGGAGCCCACTAAAGATCTTGAGGACGCCTGCGAGAAACTTCTCAAGGGTGATCCTGTGACCGGGAAACCTTATGCCTATGGTGGCTGGGTATTCCGGCTAGCTAACCTGGATGGGGGTGCGTCTGCGACCCATGACGCTGAGGATAACCGGGCTGATTCCCCGGATGGTCACGCTGAGGCCGGCTCTCCTCATCCAGGTTGGTTAATTTCCCTCGACCTTTTGATTCCACTTTCATTTTGATAAGGTGTAAAATCTAACCGGTCACTTTGTTCTTTTTGGCAGACATGAACTTCAACAGGATGACCACCATCATTGAGGATGACGACGATGATGTCCAAGTCCTCCACTCCAACCGGTCTCCTCTCTCTAACTCTCCTGGAATGGATGGGGCCACAAGTGCCCGGTGTAGCCCTATCCATGAGCAGAGCCAGAAGCTGAAATCTCCTTCAGC